AGTCTGGTTCCTATAGGAACCCTAAACCCTGAACCCTAAACGCTAAACCCTAAACCCCTAAACCCCTAAACCCCTAAACCCTAAACCCTAAACCCTAAACCCTAAACCCTAAACCCTAAAAAAAAAAGCCCTAAACCCAATCCAGGGCCCATTACCTGGAACCCCACAGCCTAGGCCCTGAACCCTGAAGCCCTAATCCTTACCACCATCAAGCCCTTGAGCCGAACCCTAAGCTTTAAAACCCCCAAAAAGCCCTAGACCTTTATATCCCGGCCCGAAAGCCTGGAGCCTAAAAAAAGACCCTAGGTATGTCTTGTGGACCTTGCCACATGATCGCGCCGGTCTTTCGCAAGATCTCCAAGGAGCGTGGCTGATCCGACTTGCAGGTTGCAGGGTTCCGGGATTTAGGGCTTTAGGGTTTAGGGCTTTATGGCTTTAGGGCTTTAGGGCCTTAGGGTTTAGGGCTTTAGGGCTTTACGGCTTTACGGGTTTAGGGTTTAGGGCTTTAGGGCTTTAGGCCTTTAGGGGTTTAGGGTTTAGGGCTTTAGGGCTCGAGGGCTTGAAGGGTCGTTTGGGGTTCCTCGAGTCTTTCTGTACCCGGCCATCCAATACACGATCCTTCTAAATGTTAAGGAAATTGGAGAGTCACCCCCGCCACCCCTTATAAATCAGCCTTCCCTTACCCTTACATGCTTCAACTTTTCAATAGTAGTAGTGGTGGTAGTAGTAGTAGTAGTAGTAGCAGTAGTAGCAGCAGCTTTTCAACAAGGATGGCTTACGTGGACCTTCTTAGTGCATCCCTCCACAGCGGCCTTTCCCTAGATGGTACTTCTTCATCATGGCCCAGAGTAGCACGCCAGAGCGACGAAGCTTCCTAAGGAAGGATCCTGAGCCCGGGTCCTTCTTGCTGAAAGAACCGGCAGGCCCCTGTAACCCTAAACCCTGAAGCTTGTAACCCTAAACCCTAACCCTAAATGCCTTTACATGGTCCTTGCTTAATGCGGGAAGAGCCCCAAGGCCGCAAGCAGCCGGCCCTCCCCTACACAGTTCTCCTTTTTTTAATAAAGGAGCCCTTACATGGTCTTTCTTGACGAAGCAACAGTGCCCCGTCAGCGCAGCACCCTTATCTTGAGGAGAAGTCACCTGGTCCCCCCGCCCCCGAGCCTGTTCTGAAACGCCCTGGTGGTACGGCCGTTCCATTCAGTATGTATGTATGTATGTATGTATGTATGTATGTATGTAAGTGTGTATGCATGCATGTATGAATGTACTGTACTTATGTATGTGCAGCTAGGATACACGTACAGAAATCGGTGCACGTGTAGCCGTTTACATAGTTTACAGGTATACATACAGACCTGTTTAGTGCATATACACAGGGATATACCCCATGTGCATGGCTGGGGGAATGCGTGATCGGAAGGAGTTTGCTGGCAAAGCCTACTTCCGCAAGGCAACAGCCGACACTGAGGATTCTCCCCGTTGCCCCAAACCCTTTTTGGCCCTATAAACGCCCTACGCCTGCCACCCGAAACCCCTGAAACCCTCGCACCCTAAACCGTTTGGGGCTTAGGGCTGCGAGTTGTTCCATTCGGCGGTCGAAGATCTGAGGTTCTAATCATATCCCTTGAACAGCAGTCCCTGCATAAGTTTACTTACTATACCGACAGCTTGAAACCCCCTTCTGACCCCTAGATGAGTGGGGTTCCTGATGAAAGAGCCCATGCAGTTCGTCTTGAGGCAGGGGAATGTTTCGGATCCGGACCCACCATCTAAGACCATTAAGAGACAGGTTTAGGGCTTGGATTTTAGGGTTTAGGAGGGTCTGACGGTTTGGGGTTGAGGCAGCAAGGTACAGTTTCCAACCGGCCGTTACCTGATGGGTGAAGATCCCAGAAGATCGAGCCCAGCAAAATGGACTCTCTCTCTCTCTCTCTCTCTCTCTCTATATACATACATACATACATACATACATACATACATACATACATATATATATATGTGTGTATATATATATATTATGGGTGCAAGATAGGGCATCTCCCTGTTCCAAACCTCAAATTCCAAACCCTAAACCCTTAAACCCTGCAATTTAAGTCCTAATCCCTCAACCCTAACCCCTAAACCAAGAACCTAAATCCTGCACCCTAAACCGCAAATCAAAAGCCTTAAACCCTAAGTCAAAATCCTCATCCGAACCCTAGGGCCTCAAGAGTTGCTGCAATTTTGAGCCTCAGTGGCTTAGGGTTTTTGCAGCGCACTTCTTTTCAGAAAGCTGACAAAAACAAACCCTTGGCGCCCTAAAAAATAACCCTGTAAGCCCTGAAAAGGTTTAGGGTTGGCGCCCGATAAAAAATCTTATATGCCCGCAACAGGTTTAGGGTTTAGGGAATTGAAGGCTATAGGGCTCTGTTGACTTGCTACCGAAGGTGGATGTGGCCAGGAACCAGCAGCTGGCGCACCAGCAGAACATCCGTGCACCGGCAGAACGAATATTATGATTTTAATTCTGGCACAACCAGCTCATCATGTGATAAAGTTTGTTCGAGTTTATGATCATTACGAAAGCTTTCACTTGCTGATATCATCAAATGCTTTTCTTCTTAATTTATGGCCATAATCATTATCATAGTAGCTACGCCTTGGTAGGAGAGTGCCTTGGCGCAGCGGTCGTTTTCATACCGAAAACCGAATCCCAGGATCCATGCCGACATTTCAGTTCTGGATGCGGGGAAAGAAGCGACATCAGTTCTCCGGCGCAGACGAGTGCCCGGCGCTTGTGTTACGCAGTCACTGTCCTAGCTTGTCAGTTGCCCTAAACCCTAAACCCGCCCACCATCCCTCTTCTTCTGCGGGTGAGGTGGCCTCCAACTGGCCCCCCAACCCTTCACGACTTGAAGCAGCTCCAAGCTGGACAAGGATTGACAACCTTCTTTCATGACTTGAGGCGACCTCCAACTGGACAAGGATTCGGGGCCCCGAATCCTTCACGATTTGCTGGACAAGGCGTGGCCCGCAACCCTTCAGGCGGCCTCCAACTGGACAAGCATTGGGGGCCCCCAATGCATTGGGCCAACCCTTCACTTTAGCCTGGGACTGTTCACGACTTCAGGCGACCACCAACAGACAAGGATGGATGCGATTCTAGGAAGCGGCTCCTACCGCAGCTGAACGCTTCAACATACGTTTACAGGTTGCTTCCAAAGATCTGCAAATCAATGACAGGGCCCTTCGGCCCAGAACGTACCTCTAACGCAAACTCTAAGTTTTGCTTGGGCAAGGATTGGGGTCCCCCAGCTAGGCAAGAATTGGGCCTCTTTTCCAATTGCACAATGATGGATGCGATTCCAGGGAACGCCTCCTACCGCAGCCCAGTGCTTCACCATACGTTTCCAAGCCGACCAGGAGCCCCCAAAAGATCGACAACTCAACGACTTGACTTTGGTAGTTAATCTCTTGCTATCCCTTGGTATGATGTTTGGCTTTGGGTTGGCCGCGTTTGGTTCGGCTGGCTGGATGGTTTGCCCGCTGTGATTAGTTTTTGGGCGGTCTTGGGGTGGGCATTTCTGCGCACAACGCGTTCAGCAGACCCATGCTACACCCTGAATCCTAAGCCCTAAGCCCTAAACCTTATATGAGATCGGAGCCTCTAAGCCTCTTGCTATTCAAAAATTCAGGCCTTAATCTTACCCTTCGGACCAACCATGCGAAGTTTCAGATCCTTAGTGCGGCCCCCCCTCCCAGAAAAATAGCATTGAAACAAAGAGCATGGGTTGGGGGCATTACCTGTAAAAGCTTCACATTTCGGTGCACTTTCGGGCTCTTTTTAATTTTTTTTATCCTTCTGCCAGGTACTCGCTGAGAGAGTGGACCCAGAAGCTGATCCAGGAGGCCTTTTTAAGTAGCGCATTTGAGGTCCCAGGAAGGAAGAAACCCAGCCCAAACCAAAAAATAAACGCTGCATCCTAGGCCCTATAACCTAGACCCTAAATCCTGTACCCCAAGCCCAAACTTTAGAAAAACGCACAGAGAGGGCCACAAGTTGCCAAAACGGGGTGCGTTGAGGGCTTAGGGGATTCAGGATTCAGGGCGGTTTGGGGTTCAGGGCTTAACTTACGGGTCTATGGGTCTAGGGTTCAATATTCAGAAGCATGGAACACTCGGCAGCCCATCCAGCCCTTCAAGTGCACGCTGCAAGCCGCATGAAACTCTGCAGAGCCTAAAACTCTCAAACCCTGAACATAAGCCCTAAACCCTAAACCCCGAAAAGAATGCTATCAAATCCCAGTGAAAGCCAGAACCTGGCAGCCCTAAACCCTGTGAGACTATGGAAAGCCCCGAACATTCGGCACTGTACCTCCCATGGCGCTGAAATGGCCTTCGACCTCCTACCTTCTAATCAATAGAGCCCTGGTGCCTTAGGTAGGGTTTAGGGGCTTGGGGTTTGGGGGTTTAGGGTTTAGGGGTTCAGGGTTTCGGGTTTAGGGTTTACAGTTTAGTTGTTCAGCTAAGGTTGAGGAAAAACTCTGTACTTTGGAACCAAAACGTGAACCATGCTGCAGTATCGCGACCCGACACCTCAGCCCCAGGCTTCATAAACCCGATAGTGCATGTGCCCGCAAACCTAATACATTACACCCCAAACATTAAGAAGCCCTCGGTAATCAAGGACGCGGCGCAGGTCAGATTAACGAATCAAGCACCTTCGCCCCCAAAGCCTCAATCCTACGGCCCCCAACCCCTTGAAGATCATCGGGACATCCTGGAGCCCATGCTGAAAAGAGCGGCTTTGGCGTGTCAGTGGAGTCAGAATGGAATCGGAAAGGGAGAGATGCCGGATAAGAGGTCGAGGAAGGCGACGACACCTCGGCAGCCGCATTTTTGAGCTTTTTGCCTACACCCAACTAAAAGAGAAATATTTTGCGACGCGCACGCAGACAGCAACCACTTCCAGCAGCGCGTCGCCTCCGGATGCTCATCAGCAGTCTCTCCGCAAAAGTTGTGCAGATCGAATGCACTTGCCCTCCTGCATCCCGTAAGCAGGAAGAGCTTGCTAAGGTATGCAACTGTTCACACAGGCGGGGTACTCCGGAAGCCGGTGGTGTTGGAGCCTCTACCCTAAAGGCTAAACCCTCAACTCTGAACTGCAAACCTCTGAGCGCTTCTGAGTTGGAAAACCCTGAGCTCTTGAAGCGCTTAAAACCCGAGCTTCAAACCCTGAGCCCCTGAGCCCTAAACCTTAATTCCTCAGCACTCTATAACCCCAAGCTCTAGATCCCCCAAAAAGCCTAAACCCTAAACCCCAAACCCTAAACCCTAAACTCTACACCTACGCTTCTACAGGCCGACCGGGATGACGTCATCGTCACCAGGGAAGCGCTGGAGGATGAACTGCAGGGGTTGGGTAAAGAACTCACAACCTCAAACCCTCATTAAACCCCGTTGTAGAGCCGCTTAACACCGAATAGAACCCTTTGGGCTCTACATAGGGTGCAAAGCCTCGAAGGCTTCGATTTCTTACCAAACCCCAAGCCCTAAACCCGAACCCTAAAACCGTAAATAAGAAACCCAGGGTCTACACGGGGTGTATAGAGACTTTAAGATTGGTGCTTTTTAAAGCCTTTAAGGTTGGTGTATAGAGCCTTTGAAGGGGATTTTGAAGGGGGTTTCTGTACAGCATCTTCTCAGGGCCATATGGTGGTTTCGGTTTTCGGGGTTGAAGGGCCAGGATCGAGGCTTCGGGATGTCTCCGAGTGGGCCTTGCTTGACCTTGGTTTTATCAGGGGGGTTTGAGGCAGTTTAGGGTTCAGGGTTTAGGGGTTTAGGGTTCAGGGTTTAGGGTTTTAGGGTATAGGGTTTAGGGGTTTAGGGTTTAGGGTTAAGGGTTGAATGAGGGCTTTGTCAGATTTTGTATGGCTTGTATGCCGCGAAGGCAAATAATTCAGTCAGGCCATGACACCTGGCGGCATGGGTGTTGTCTTTGGTTGAGAGGCCTAGCGGAAAGTGCACCTCCAGCAAAATCACTAAGTTTTGCCGGGAGATGGCCAGAAAGCTTCAGCATCTCTTGGGACGAGGATGAAGAGGAGGAGCAGGATGAGGTGATGCAAGCCTTAGACTTCTGCAGGCACGAGGGATCTGTTGGACGATCTTGCGCACACGGCATTCGACGGTGAAGGTGATGCGGCTGATCCAGAGCAGGATTCCACGGGCGAGGGTTGTCACAAGAACAGCGAGCTACAGTCAACAGAGAGCAAGATGGCGCGCGGCAGGATGGAGATTGAAACAGGCTTTTGGTTTGTGGGGAGAGCGAAAGAGTTATCCCGCGAGCGAGTACGTGCAAGACATAAAGCAGGCTTCGCAAAACTTAACCCCTACAGAGAACTTGAGCCCCAGCATCTAAACCCTACAGCCCGAAGCCCTTAAACCCCTTCGCGACACGCTGCCAGTAATGTTCACCTTCGGTTTTCGAAATCGAGCCCCAAAACCAACCCGCCGAAGCCCCTACTCGCAAAACCCCTACTCTGGGCCTAAGCCCCAAGCCCTGAAACCCTAGGGTTCTAAAGTCCACTCTCAACCTTGAACCCAAATCCCTTCAAATCCCCTCCTTCTGAACCCTGAGCCCTAAACCCTGAAACCCTGAACCTCTAAACCCGAAACCCTTGACCAGGAGTTCTACCTGAAGCACGACCCCGGCAAAGCCACGAAAGAGAGCCTGGACACCATCCTCCAGAAGAACAGCAAGGAGTCCGGGGGGTCGAGGGTGGTTCTAGTAGGGTTTAGGGAGGATGGCCGGCATTCTCTTCAGAACCCGTTCAAGCTTTAGGGGTTTAGGGGTTTCGGGGTTTAGGGCTCTAGGGCTCTGGGGGTTTAGGGTTCTAGGGGTTCTAGGGGTTCTAAGGGGGTTTCGGGCTTTGGGCCCTTGGGTGTTGGAGTAGAGCCTTAGGATGTTATAGGGTTCCGCTCAGGATTCTGTAAGGGTACTGACCTTTGTCGGATGAAGGGTTTAGGCTCTTTTGAGGCGTCTTTGGGGAGACAGAAGGCTAGGCTAGCTGTCGGGTTTGTATGGTTCCTTTAATTTAAGGATTCCTGTGAAGGGTTTGGTTTAAGAGGGCTCTGGGGGTTCGAGGAGGGTTGGAGATTTGGGGCGTAGGGCTTCTCAGCTTTGCGGCCTAGTGCTCGGCTTGGGGATTTAAGGTTTCGGGTTCTAGGGAGGATTGCAAACTTTGGGGTTTAGATGTTAATGTTATCCTTCATAGATTATCGCTGCCATCATCTGATCCAGGGATGAGGGGTCCTCAGGCGCTAGGCATCACATAGGACTCGATGGAGGAGCCGAATGATAGGAAAGACCGGCAAAAGATTCTGTGGCCACCCTTTCTCCTTCAAATCCTACGCCCGAGGCCTCCCAAACCCTGAAACTCTGTACGTGCCCCAGTGGCTAGCAATACTTGTCCGTTCCCAACCCGAGATTTACTCAAGACCCCGATGAAGCTTGATTCCTGATCCTCTCGGCCGCCATCACGGCGACACGATCCAACACAATCTTGATGCAAACAGGGTCGACGAAATGGGAGGCGACTCTTTGACACGTCTTTCCTGGCTGTTAAAGTCCGTGATGGAGGCATGAGTGTGAATGTCCCCGAGAAAAGTGTCCATAAAGATGAAGCAGCCCACGAAATCAATGAAGGCCACGATTGTTTTCCTTCCACCGAAATTCTTATCAAGTAAGCTCTTGTAGTCATGAGTGTATTTGGTTGGGCTCTGAAGCCCGATGCTTACGAGCACTTCAACACCCTCTACCCCGAGCCTTAACCCTAAACCCTAAGCCCGCGAACCCCGTGACCCTAAACCCTAAACCCTAAACCCTAAACCCCTAAACCCTGAACCCCTAAACCCCTAAACCCTAAACCCGGGGGTCAGGACTTTCCTACCATGGTCCGGCTGCTGAAGAAGAAGTATGGTGAGGCGGTCTTTAGTAGAAGAGCTTCAAGGGGGCCTTTTGGGAACGGCGGGCCCCCTTTATCCTGAGGTGCTCATGAGACGGATCTTACAGCTTAGGATTTTTTTTTGATCTAGGTCCTGCGTGATCTGAAGCTCCCACATAGTAACATCATTGAATTTTCGTTGGATCTTCGGTTCAGCAGAACATCCCCAAGTGTTTGTCTAATTCGTCGGACCCTGTACTACGGCTGGTGCAGAAAATCCTGCAGTATCCAGAACAAGGAATATACCATGACTTCTATACAGTCCAGGCTAATTAGCATAATCCAGAGTCTCGTGAGGGCCCATGTGCCCATAGCATCATAATTGGACGGGAGACGCACATGACTAGTTCGGACAATTGAGGACCTCTTCAAAACAACCACCATATAAGCCCCTACATCACCCCTCCAGAACCCCTAACTGAAAGGACCCTTAGGGATTCTGTCCATCAGCTGTGCCTTTCAGGATTAATTAAGGTTTCAAGCCGGCAGGGAGGCTGTAGGACATTTCTTGGAGCTCTGTAGGCTTTACAGGCTTCCGGACAGAAGCTGTAGTCACAGCCTGACAGCCTGAAGCCGAAAGTGCTTTGTAATTATAGACCATAGGCATCGGAAGGAATAGAGAGTAATATCATCCTCTTATAGTTGTTATCTGATTATAGTCTAATATTGCACCGAACCATGTTACAATTCTTCAATCTCCGATACCACTGGCTTGGCCAGCCTGCCTGGGAAATTAGCGACTGTGGCACGAAGCCAGCCGGTAGGAACTCGTAGCTCGTGACTCTGCAACCCTACACTTAGCCTTCATTCCTAATCCAACCCTGATTGAACTGGTATTCAGCCCTTATGCAAGTCCTACTCAACCGTATATGCCACCTCCCCAAACCATCCTACACCCTAAATGAGGAGTTTTCTAAATTAGGGTCCCTTCTTAGGCCTTCAACATAGGACCTTAAATGGAACCCTAACTTAGAGAACTACCTGAATTCCAATCCTAGCAGCTCCCCACACCTGCCGCAGCGGAGTCGACACTCGCCTTTCCCAGGCTCCCAAGACGACGCAGAAGCCGAAGCCGACAAAGGCCGCGCAGGGAAAGGGTTTAGGGTTTAGAGTCTAGGGTTTAGGGTTTAGGGGTTTAGGGTTTAGGGTTTAGGGCTTAGGGTTTCAGGTTTAATCAGGGTTTAGGGGTTCAGGGTTTAGGGTTTAGGGTTTGCGGAGGGCCTGGGGACCCTTGGGATCCCCTTTTTAGGCCACCATTACAAGGGGTCTTTGTGGTTTTGTGCTGGTGGTATTGGGGTGGGTCCTCAGTTTTCTGAAACTCCCACAAAGCACTTTTCAGGGTTTGGGCTCTAAGAGTTTAGGCTGTACGGGAATGTACGCAACTACTTTGCTCGCAGCTAGCATGTCCTTAGAAACGAGTCCCGAATCATTTGGACGCAAGAGTAGCCTATCACGCAGCTGCAACTTACACTGCTGAGCCAGTCATCGAGCTTTCTCTCCGGTTTACGACCTCGACCTAGGGGTTTAGGGTTTAGGGTTTTAGGGCTTATGGGTTTAGGGTTTAGGGGTTTAGGGGTTTAGGGTTTAGGGGATTAGGGTTTAATGGCGAAGTCAGTTCTCTTCCGATCGGCCCTGCTTCGGATGGACAGTTCCGCCTCTTGAAAGGCTTGAATCTTAACAGGGCCTGTGGGTGTACGTGGTTTAGAGACTGTAGGGTCTGTGGGGGTAAAGGAATTTCGGGTTCAGGTTTGATGGGTTTAGGCTCCAAGGACAGCGAGTTTTGGTTCTTGGGTTTTTCTTTTTGTTTTTTGTTGGTGGAGGGCTTGGTTTTGTACAGTTGAGCGGAGCCGATTCAAGGGTTGAGGTTTCAGGTTGTATAGCATGAGAATCATACTGACTACCCTCTGGAGGACTACTGCGAGCCTCCATGGTGAAGATGAGATTTGTAGTTGCTGCTGTCCTCAATTCTTCAATTTGATCATTCCCAGGATGAGTACAGGATGATGGTAAGTATCGCTGCTGTCGAAGTTTGAGGGGGCTAGTGTGATCGTGGCAGTTTCCAAGCATACGTGTAAAGTCTCCCAAAAGGGAAGCACACACTTCCTCATTTAGGAAAGTCTAAACCCTAAACCCCTAAACCCCAAACCCCCAAACCCTAAACCTCTAAACTCTAAAC